CACTAATGGATATAAAAGATCATCATTCCAATACCACCAATAGACAACCATCACATGGAGCGTGAAAGCAAGACAGAAGCCAGTCAGAACAGATATTTTCCTCTCCCCCTGCAGCCACAACCAGAAGGCATACTTAAATTATTTTCTTAAGATGATAAAAAGAACTTTTCCAAGTACTGGTTTCTGATCAAACATGGGACTGAAAAATAAATATAAGACAGTTTTTATCACCTTCAAAGCGGTTTGTTTCCGTAAAATGTCATTAGACTTGAACATGACAGCAGCAATCCAAATTGTAACAAAGAAACCTGAAAATCTTTGCAGAAGGCAAATGTCATTAAGTTGAAATGAACAGTACTTCAGTTTGAGAAGGTATAAGACAGAAAAAGCCCCTTTTAACCTTGTAGCAGCCATAAAAACCAAATCAGAGTTCCTCTCTCCACACCTCATGTAGTCCATCAAATTAGTAGTTAGGCAGTTGCAAGTTTGAGACATAAATTATTACAATATGAAACTTAAAAGGCACAAAGAACACTCTATAGGTTTGGATCCTTGTATTGCTCTATCGGAAATGCATAAGCCAAGCACTTCACCAATCAAGGCTAGTAGAACAACACCAATAAGTTTCTAAAAGATGAAACCAATGTTCATCAACTATTCCTCCAAAGGAGCTTTCTTCGTGCAAGTATAACATTAAATACAAGTAAATACTTGGTGTAAAAAAATTACAGAAGTTGTCGAGAAGCATAGAAGGAAAAGCAAGAAGACATGCACTTAAATTCTCAATAACAGTTAAAGCCCAAGTGCCCAACTCCATGAACATTTGCAAAATGCATAAGCACACTAACAACAGAATATTCCCAAACATCAAAGATTCAAACTATCTAAATGCTGATGCTATATTTAACAGATATTCTGAAACAAAATTTTTGAAATTATATTGCTAGAAGCAAATCTAGAAAAAAAATTAAGAAAATGAGATGCGTCACCTTGCAAATGTTGCCGGATAAAAACAACCAAGAGAAGCAAAGAAAAGGGCAGAACTTGCTCTATCCACCTAGCAGCCTGCTGAATGTCATATCTTTGGTAGGAGGAATCTCTGTTATTATTGACTCCAGACCCACTCCCATCCCCAGATTCTGCATCAGCACTAACACTCCCACTGGACGAAGAGTAGGAAACACCTTCACCTTCTCCAGTAGCCACCCCAAGATCGCTGCTCCTGGAGTTCCCTCCTTGACCATCAGATGTTCCCAACCCCAGAAACACCTCGCTCTGAGGAGTAACTTCCCTGAGTTGGCCAACCACCATACCAGAGGCATCCCTATCGCTCTCATGTTGGTCTTCTGCCCCAATTATCCTAATTGCAACATGTCCATTGTTGGGAAGGGAAGAAGTGGAATTTTCTACATTTGGATTTGGGATAAGAGGGGATTCTTGGTGAATAGAACGTGATGTACGGAGAAGGCCTGAGTACTCTAACAAGGCCGAAATAGGCACTTGGATTATATTCGAAGCCGACAATATTCTCTGTCTTCTTGAATTAGAAGAACCGCCACCGTATGCGTCTGAATCCGTACCAGAAGCGTCCATTTGCGGCGATGATGATGGTGATGATGAGGATGCCTAGCCCTAAGCGATCATTTCATGATATAAATCAGAATTTCAATTTTTTATTTTTTTTTCAATTCGGGATATACCAAGAAAACCTAAACAAATGACAAGACACAATCTTACGTTCATTGAACAAAGGGATGAATAAGACGTACATGATACCGGGCTTACCTTAATGAAAAAAATAAAATCCGAAATGAAAAGAAGCAAAATACCTTAACCCTATTGTCGGAGTCAATAGTAAAGAAAGCGGGAAGGTTTGACTGAATCTGGGCTCAATCGAGGACGACCAAAGACTGATCCTCCTATTGTTAAAAAATGCAGAGAGAGGATAAAAATCAGATCTTTCTTCTTTCCTTTGTCTTCCAATTGTTTGTTTGGTTTACGTCCTCGGTTTTCTTCCTCTCTTTTTTTCCCTTCTCGCTCGCGCGAGGGCAGACAAACAGCGATAGTGAGGAAAAAAAAATTAGTCAACTTTATTTATATTTATATATCCTGTGAATAGGGTCACCTAAATTTTTTTATATACATTTCTTTCTTTAAATATATCTTCCATATATCTTTTAATTAGAGATAATATTATACGGAACATATATAAATTATTTTAATCTAGGGCAAACTACGCCAATGGTCACTAAAGTATGAGTTAGTAATAGTTTTCACCAGTAATGTTTCAAAAGTTACAAATTGATCACTAATATTATCGTCTATTACAAATCAGTCACTCTCTGTTAACAACCGTGGGCGTAATGGAAATCCCAGTTGGACCGTTCAACAGTTCTATCGCTATAGTTTGTATCTCATACCTCTCTTAGTCTTCTACTAAGAGCCTCGTCGTGAGTGTACAAATATAGGGTCTCTAACCGCAATATCAAAACAATAACAAAATGCAATAAACATGATACAAATCCAAACACAATATATATATAGCTATATATTTTAGCACTGCCATCAATTCACGGAAGTGCCTTATCACTGGTACTGAAGTGTCTCGACACTGATACAAAAGTGCATTCACACTGATTCAAATGTGCATTCTCACTGATACTAAAATGCCTTAGCATTATTGATACATATATATACCTTAGACGATCGTCGTGCATACAAGTAGCTCGGTGTCCTTATTGTTTCCCAAGCAGCAAACAAAGGCATAAGTCTTATGGAATCTTACCTCATAAGGTTATATGGTTATCACACATATCTTATTATTATCTTATTGTTATCTTGTTATTATTATCATTTACAACAAAAGTAGGTGAAAACGCTACCTCACTTACTAGTATTTTGACCGTTCTCTCTCTTAGAATGTTATGCAAAAGCTTAACATAATGTCAGTGTCTTATGCTCTTAAGGCAATTCATAATCATTACTACCCGTGCGTACCTAGGGCCCAAAGGCCACACAACATTGACATCGCTAATCCACTCCTTGCGAGTGTTCAGGCCTCTCACCCCAGTTAGCTCCTGAAGTGCCTCACGCACTAACAATGCCCTACTAGGGCAACCAAGGTAACCTAGTTATACTCCAGCATAGTTGGACCCACTAAAGTGAAGTCATCCTCTCACTAGCTGCTATCTCGCTCGTTCTCTCATCTAGAACATTATACGAAGGCTTGTTGGTCTATTACTGTTGTTATTTATTAAGCAACTCTATCCTGGTCATTAATTCCTTAAGGACACTTTAATCACTTTGACTTAAGAAATGTCTCTATGTGTTTCGTGATTTAGCGATAATTACTGAGTTTACCTATCACTTTTTGAAGCATTAGCTAGCCCGATACCTGGTTCGGGTTCATTTCTGAGTAACGACACTCTAGTTATTCTTATCATACCTTCCTTCAATACCTCCTGAACTGAAAGGGGCGACTTACCTCTCCTGGGTTCGCTGACGTTCTCGAAACTCTTGACACGTGGATTACTCTATTAACCCACCTTTAATATATTTCTCCCATTAATGTTAGATTCAAACAACGAGTGAACCAAATACTTTTTTATATGCTTGTTTGAATTACTACCGGAAAACATCTCCAGATTTTTCCAATTGCAACCATGGATTCCATACCAGATGCGTCGATAGTCAATACATGGATTAGCTCTATCGTTGAAAATGCTTCTGCTGGTACCCCTTTGAAGTTGCTTGTTGAAGGCTTATGTAGTTGCCACAAAGCATCCTCCCACACAGATGGAGGTTCATTTAAAGTCTCTGCACAAGTGCTTTGTTGGCGATGGGCAAAGACTACTACATTTTTTAGCTACCTTAGTTGCAATGGGTAACAAGTCTGGATTTTCAGCACCATCCACTGCCATCTTCTTAAATAAATCCCAAGCGCTCATGTTTTAAAACTCCTATTAGAAAACTTTCTTCAGCATCCATATCCTTGGATAAGACATGCAAATCTCTAGTAGTATGGTGTATCTATGATGCTCGTATCCAGAAAGAATCTCCAGTTTCGTCGGGTTTAATGTTATCCGAATATCATCTATAAGACAAGAATCTTTTTTATCTCTCTTCAATCACGCTCTGCTCCTCGAATTTCAATCCAGCACGTCTGGAAATTGGTTTTGAATTTTTTGGATGTCAAGAGTTTTGAGTTACAGCTACCATAACCACCGACTTGTCTAACAACTTCTTTAACAATCGTGGTCTCTCCAACATCAATCATTCCGTACACCCCTATGATGTCGACGAATACCTACTTTCTTGAATCAAAGGCCTCAAAATCTTTTGGGGATATATTTGTTTCTGCTGAATGAGTTCAAAAACAGCGCTTACATTAGCTTCTGCTTTCTCACCAAGCTGATTGCGAGCCTTGAAATTAGGTGTGAATTTCACGGTTGAGAAGATTTTGAAGAGAAGTATCCGGTTCACTTGCCGTTTGAATCTAACGTTAATGAAAGAAATCTTCTAAAAGTGAGCTAATAGGGTAATCCACGTGTTAGAACTCATTAGTAGGGCATAAGAAATGGCACCCGCACTTTCCCTATAGCGAATTTCACATTTCTGTCATTCTGCCTGTTGTTTTGTTTTGTCACTGTATCAGGATTGATGAAGTGGGGTTTCGTCCATCATCTGCTTCTCCCATTCAATCATATGCACTGCAGGCAACCTAACAAACAGCAGTCTAAGACAGCTTTTGCTATCAAACAAAATAAAAGGATAAGCTCCTTGTCATCGCTGCACGTTTGTAATAACTGCTCATTTTCAGAGTCGCTGACAACATTCTCCATTGTCTACCATCTTCAACATAATTATTTACGGCAAAAAGCACCTACTTACAAGTCTGAAACTGCGTGCAATTAAGCTGAAGACAACTTTCCAACAGGAAAATCCAGTGGCAAAGGAAAAAAGTGATGCATGCTTCAGTTGAATGGCATAATCAACACATAATCAGCAAACAGGACAACTTGCACAGTAGGTACAATGAAGTCAAACCACCCTTGTTTCAACAAGCAAAATTTTCACTTTGTCAGGGGGTAATGCTACAAAAGCCACACCAAACAAGTGTACAATTAAGTGACAATTTCATCTAACTCTGCATGCTGCAGGGCCACCTGGGGAACAATCTGGATTAGGCAACCTACAAATGCCACCTGGTCCAACATTGTTGGGAAATCTGTGATGCACTCGGTAATCTGGAACTCCACCCATAGCAAATGGACCAGTACTACCACCTGTTAGTTTTGAGTTTAAAGACGAGGAGACTTCATCTGCACTACCGCCGGTGCATTGTAGTGGTTCCAGCGTCTCAACTACATCACTCATTAATGGCCTCGCTTTTGGATTCTGGCTCAGACAGTAGTATGCCAAGCTGCAGGCCTTCTGAGCTGCCCTTGCTGAATATTGGTTCTCCATCCTTGGGTCAATTATTTGAAGTAATTTTCTCTTATCATTCAGTTTTGGACGAGCCCAATCCACCAAGTTCTGCTCCTTGCTTGGCCTTGTCTTATCAACAGATTTTCGTCCCGTCAAAAGCTCCAAAAGAACAACTCCGAAGCTGTATACATCGCTCCTTGCAGTCAGATGGCCTGCACATTTCATACAAAGAAATAAGGAACTGTGCAAATCAAATATAATTGCTTCTTAATTTGTTCAAACCACCAGAAGAAAAATGTAAAGACCAGAGAAGTTGTAGACAATATGATAAATGCTCAAATGTGTCCCAGAACTTGAGTAACAGCCACTTAAGCAGCAAGGAATTAAAATCAGCTTGAAGACTTTCTTAAATTCAAACTGCATATATCCTTGATATCTCTTTATTCTGTTAGACCTAAATCGCAGATTGGATCCCGTTCAAAAATCTCAACAAAAATAATCTGATGGATTTACTTGAATTTGTGTTCATAATTCTTCGTAAACAGGTGTTAAAAACAAAATTTTCACTTAACGTTTGATACTGCCAAAAGCCCAAAACTAATGCAACAAGCTCCTCATGCACTCTCAAATCCAAGAAGCAGAAAATTCCAAAGCTAATGCAACAAGTTCCTTATGCACACTCGCATCCAAGAACCAGAAACCCCAAAAGTAATGCAACAAATTCCTTATTCACTCTCACATCCAAAAAGCAGAAGGCACAGTTATCAGCAACAGTGACACTGACACTAAAGGATTTACACCTACCTATATGGCGAATCAGCTAAATTTTTATTGGTCGCTGATAGCTTGCACCCAGCATGCTTTCAAGCTACGCCTTTCTGTAAGGCAGCTCAGAGAAGTAATTTCATAGTAAATGCATGCCCTTTCTTTATTTTTATCAAATACGGGCATCAATTCATTTCCCCCATTTGCTGGACCCCATTCTTCTGATAAATGTTATTATGATGTATCACACATTACTAAGATTTTAGTAGGTCATACCAGTCATAACATATTCAGGTGCTGCATATCCATATGTTCCCATCACTCGAGTGGAGACATGGGTCTCATCACCTTGTGGTCCAGCTTTCGCAAGCCCAAAATCAGAAAGTTTGGCTGTATAATCCTGAATATTCAAGAGACAAACTCATGGTTGAAGAGGAATAAAGATCCATAGATAAGAACTACAGTAGTATAATACTGATTACTGAATGGCTCATTTTTCAACTAGCACAGATTAGAGGGGACAACAAATTCAACAATCAAGGGAGAAGAAGATGAGCAAGCTCTTGAATGAACATTTAAGCAAATACTTACAGAGTCCAATAATATATTTGAGGTTTTAAAATCCCTATATATCACAGGTCTTTCAGCATTGTGAAGGAAAGCAAGTCCTTTAGCAGCTCCTAGAGCAATCATCATTCTTTTCTCCCAGGATAAAGGAACAGTTGCCTCTGAATGGCACAGGAAAGAGAGATAAACTTTTGTTAACAGTAGACAGAAAAGCTACAACAGACAAATAGTGTCATACAATTATGAAAACGGAAGACGCAAAAGGAAACCATTTTAGTACTTAATGGCTTTAGGTTCTAAATTGGATACTTTATAATAAGCATGAAACACATCAATTTTAATCCCCAAGGATCCTAGGATGACTGATGGAGAATGCTACACCTACATCATATGATTCTATTCATATGATTGCTTCATTGGTCAAATAAGTTTAGGAGAAGATAGGAGTAGATGATATCTTAGAGCCTTGCAACAAAAGAGGGGATAATCTATCATGGTATCAGTTTATTTGGATGCCAGGGATTTTCGAGGAAAATAATAGATTGCAATAAACCAACTTTTTGCCAGTTTGAACAAATGTTCTTAATTCAAGTGTCACCCCACTAAATTCCCCTCAAGATTATTCTCATATCAACTGCACTTATCTTTTTCTCTTCCATATAAATTAGCAACACCCGTGGTGTATTGAAATGATTTTGAAACAAAATTCTTAAACTATCACCGTGTACAAAGGGGTGCTCATGGCCCTGCAGGCCACTTGTAGCAGATAAACTGCCATCTTGGATAGAAAGAAAAACATTTTACCAATCCAAAGAATATAGAAGCATCAACTAAACCGACGTGTGTAAATATTGTAAAATTAATTGAACCTTAAATATTTGATTTCTACCCCACTCCTTTAGCGAAAAAAACGTTTGCAGGATATTAGTGTTAAATTAGAAATAATAATAATCATATATAATCAAACTAACTTATTGATTAAAGGATGATTATCTATAGTGGTCTCAAGTTCAAATCAAACACTAATATATAAACATTCACAAATGATTGAGAGTTTTTAGAACAAATACTACCACTTGAATCACCCTAGATTAATAAGAAAATAATAAATACTTAGAAAAATTATAATAAATTTTAAAAATATAAAATATTTTTATATAATTTAAATATTATTCGAAGTCTTCACAAATGAGATACACCAAGTAAGTTTAAGATGATCTACGCACTAGAGAATTCTATCATGAAAAAGGGCGGAAGCATCGCATGGGAAAGTATACGTACTAATTACATTAGGTGCTAGAATGTTTTATCGCCAGATTGATGAGTTTATTCGAAGTAGATAACAAAAATTTCCAGAGCCTAGCTGATGAGAGGATGTTAGCACTTAGCAGCAGGAAAGAGAAGGTATTTGTAATGATTGGGATTGAGAGACAGGGAAACAAGATAAGCATAAACAAACCTGGATATAATAGGAATCATGCGAAATGTTAAAAAGAGAAAAAGAAAGTGGAGAAATCCCTACTTCGGAAAAGGTGATTCTCAAGGCTTCCACGGAACATGAATTCGTATACAAGTAGCCTGTGATCATCCTCGCAACAATAGCCAATCAGCTTAACCAGATTGGGATGCCTGAGCTGGCCGAGGAAGTTGACCTCAGTCTGGAGATAGAGAGTAGTTTACGGGAATTGAAAAAATTGGGGAAAAGAATGCAGGAAAATTAAGAGAGAGGATACGTACCAACCATTCGCGGTGACCCTGAAGGCCCTCTTTGTTGAGGACCTTGACAGCGACAGGCAGAGATTTGAGACCAACCCGCACATTGTCGTCAATGTAACCTTTATAGACGGTCCCGAAACCGCCTTCTCCGAGAATGTAGTCAGAACGGAAGCTCTTGGTAATAGTCTCCAGCTCGAATAAAGTGAAGGCGATGATGTGGGTATAGAGAAGCGCGTTTTTTCTGGAGTCATCGAAATCGCTCAGATCTGAAAGGGTGCGATTCTGATTCTGACTCTGACTTTGAGTAAGCTTCTTGTCAGATAATATGTGGTTGTGGAGCTGTTGAACTGCGATTTTCAGAGAATGAGAAGAAGAATAGAAAGAAAGGGGAAGGTTGCCCTAGGGCTGGGGAGATTGGGAAAAAGGAAAAAGAAATTAAAACAAGTAAATGACCTAACCTTGAGCATGAGTAACAACAACATCAGATTCCTCTCTAGTGCCACAGTTGCCCATGACGGAAGAATGAGTTCGTAATCGCAGCAGCTTCTTCAGCTTCCCAATTCCGCAAGGCTCTTCTCTCGCTGTGACTTTAACTTAGTTTCATTACGTGCGTGGGAATAAAATAATGTTACTTCGGGGTGAATTGAAATGAATCAATGCGAGTGAGATTGTTTCTTTCCGCCCGCATCCGCACCCGTATCTGTAACGGAACCCCTATCCGTACCTTTTGTGTGTACTGTATGAATGTTAAAAAATCCAATTTGATTGATCTGATCTAGTGATTCTATCTGAAAATTATATTTAATATATTTTTTATTTTTTGAATAATTTGAATGGGATATTTGAAAAAAAACCTTAGATGATCGGATACGATACGGATTGGATAAATTTCATTTTTAGATTATTCAAAAATTTGAAAAAAATTAAACTTTTAGATTTTAGATACATTAAATCTAATAAATGAGTAATTCACTAAATCATTAATGTTATATTCCAATAAAAATTAATATATTTAATTATTTATTGTATGTGAGTAATTATATATATATATAGTAGATGTATCGAATAATTTACAGTAACTTGTAAAATATAAAATTATTATTTTTTATATATGTATATATATATATATAATATAGTAGATGTATTGAATAAGTTACAATAAATTTTAAAATATAAAATTATTATTATTTTTCAAGTTAAATTTTGTATTTGAATTTGGATATCCGAATATTCGATCTGAAATTTTGGATACCAAAACTTTGAGTATCCACTTTTAAATCAAATACAAATTACTATTTTACATATTTAAAATTTTCGAATATTTTTTTTTTGATACGGATCATTATTATAGATAACTAAAATTCCCAAATATTTGAAATTTTGGATATGATAGAATCCGATAACCGAATTTACACGTCCCTAGCGTATATTGTGTCAGCATTATCACGCTCCTTTTTACTCTGCTCGGTTCGCGCATTCCAAAGGCACACAATGCTATATACTTCCCATCTCTTTAAGTAAAAGATAATGAGGTCCGAATGAATCTCTATGCATAAGATTAGATAAAGTAAGAGGTGGATCGGAGAAAACAGATAGTCATCTGAATCCACTTCTAGTTTAGACATAAAATAATTATCATTTATATTGACCTCGCGTCGGATTTATTAAAATTGATTTATTAAATGACTGTTTGATTTTAAATTTTATTTTATTTTATATTTTATTTTCTATTTTAATTTTCTGAAAATAGTTTTCATTTTTAATTTTTTGAAGATTTAAAACATGCTTGACTAATATAAATCAAAACTTAAATTAGGAAATTTCTAAGATGAACATAATGAGGTCTGAATGAATATCTATGTAGAAGATTAGATAAATTAGGAGGTGGATTGGAGAAAACAAATAGTCATTTGATTCCACTTCTAGTTTAAACATAAAATAAATAACATTTATATTGATCTCACGTCGGATTATTAAAATTTAATTTATTAAAATCCTTTTGATTTTAGAAAATATTTTATGTTTTTGTCTTCTATTTTAATTTTCTGAAAATAGGTTTTATTTTCAATTTTTTGAAGATTATAAAGCATGCTTGGTTAATATAAATCAATACTTAAATTAGGAAATTTAACTGTATCTGAAACCATATTGAATGTAAAACAAGTTTAGATACCATATTGTTTTTTTGTAAAAGTTTGAGGGTTTCAGATGCCATTAAATCAAAAAATTATTCTTAAAAAAATTTGAACTCATACAATTTAAGTTAAAAATCTAACTCTTGTGTTTTCTTATTTTTCAACTTTTCCAAAAATAACTTTAATAGAAATATTGAAAATTTTATAACAAAACATGTTTTCTTCAATGTTTTTCATTTTCTAAGAAAATGAAAATTAAAATATATTTTTTTTGACAAACGGACCCTAAATTTTCTTATAAAAAGAAAAAACTGCACACACAAGAGTAGTAGAATATTATAATTGTTTATTAGACTTGCAAGATTAAATATTAAAGATAAATATTGCAAATAATTAAAAATATTATAAATAAAAGTTAATTTTTTTCCTTGCATTCAAATGATTCTTTACTCTATATATGAGTTCAAGCACTTGATCAGTATGTTAACATCCGGTTCAAATGATTATCAATTTTAATTGAACATATAAATAATTAGATGATTATTTTATAACTTTAATAATCGAATAACTCAATAAAATAATTTTTTATAATAAAAAACTCAGAAAAACAACATTCTAAAGTCAAAAATTACTTATATACTTTACCCGATAAATTTCTAATAGATGTATTTTAATAATAATCAAGGGCTATCTAGCTATGTCTATCTCAATCGCGTGGTTCTTTGAAAAAAAATATCATGGTAAATTTAATATTTAATATGTATACTTTTTTTATTGTTAATATGACACTTGTTTTCTTTTGAGTTAAATTTATTTTTTTATTTTTAAATATAAAATTATCATAACAATGAATGATGACTAATTAAAATGTTAAAACTTTTAATAATTTTTTATATGAATCAAGTTATCTCGTTGATTAAAGGAATGATTATTATTTTTTAGAGCTTTTACCATTCGCTGATAAGTTGACCGAAGATCGTCAAAGTCTAGCCGAAGTTGTTTCTCTACTTTTTCAATTCGATCTGCTCTACTCTTCTGAATGTCAATCTCCAATCCCTTTTGATACACTTCATCTTCCAGTTTCTGCAAAGTCATTCTCCATTGTCTCCGTTCTGCTTCGAAATCGCGCTTGGCTAACTCTAATGGAGATTGCACCACTCTCAACTGTTCCTCCACCGGCTGAATATTTTCAGGATTCACTATCGGGATGTTGTCATTTACTCGACCGCTTCTCCACTACTCGTACTCTTGAGATAACTCGAGATCATAGGTGAACAAATTCACGCGACGAGTTTTCTTCTAGGCCTCAGTAACCCCTTTAACTTTACCCTTATACTAATCTCCTTTGAATGCAAAATCCGATCCTACCAAGTCCCACGTGGCTGGAATGAACTGCCTCGATCCATACTGTCTGGAAACTAGTAGCAGTGCATACCCAACAGAACCCCATATACCTGGCAAAGGAATACAATCTCGCTCTCCACATCGGTAAAAGTATATCCGAAGAGGTATTCCACGAAGCTCGCCACAAAATATCTCCATCTCTGATATCCTTGAAGATGACCATCCATTTTTCTTCGGTGAAGCCCCCAGGTCATTCTTTAGAAAGAAAATCTTTCAAAGGCGAAAACCCCTCTAGAAACACTCGTCCTGGTGCTCTTTCAACATGTTTGAAATGACTCAGAATCCACACTAGCAGCAAAGGCGCACATCCTATAAAGCGTCCTTCTCCCTCGCGCCTACAAGAACTCAAAGACCGGAACGTCTCAGCTAAAAAATGGCTGGAACAGGATCCACATGCTTGTCTAATCTTTCAAACAGGTCAACGACTGATATGTCTACATATCCTAGCACCTTTGGAAAAATAACGAGCCCATAAATCCCTAAAGCAAACAAGTCAAGCTTCTTTCTCTTATCAGGGTGATGATCAATTACTTCTTTCAAAGCAACCCAAGAGATACATTCACTGTCCCCCTTCTTCTTAATGTTTTTGATTACCCAATCTTCACTCATTCCGGTCATCAATAGTAATTTCTTCTTAAACGATGGAGTGACTGGCAGCTTGATATATATTCTATCTATCTGGGACCTTGGACAACGGACCAAAGCCTGATACTCCTCTATTGTTGGTGTTAGATCCACTCTACCAAATGTGAAACAGCTATAAGCCGGGTTCCAGAACTGTGCCAATGCTCTAAACAGATTTCGGTCAATAGGAACATCCAGAAGATAAGGAATATCGCCGTACAACTGATAAAACATCTCCTTATCGGCTACTGTCCATCTTCCCCATATCTCCTTTAGCTCACTTAGATCATTCTGACGCACGTTGATGTGAGTATAACCAAATAACTCCGACACGTATCCAGGCATCACGCTGTCCCCATTGGTCAGTTGGGACTGTTCTGACCACCTCAAAACATTTGCATTGTCTTCGACCTCTTTCTGAACCATTCGTTCCATATTACTGGCCTTCTCTATGGACATCGATCCCAAATCAACACCATGTAATGGATATTGCAATGCAAAAACAGAAAAGAAACAAGGCAAAGACAACAAGAGATCGGTTAGCAAACATAAAGCAATTAAGTCGGGATAATAATTTGTTCAAGAATCCTACCCACATGTTGGCTACCCAATCATGCTTTAGTAGATCCTACCCAACATGATATCTACCCTTATGCTTTGTTATTCACAAAAATAAATCCTAACCGCATGATATCTAATTCGCATGGTTGTTTAAAAAATAAACCTAACCGCATGATATCTAGTTCGCATGCATTTATTCGAAAAAACGAAAATAAATGACTCAAAAAAGCTTTTCCATGTATACCCTCCTCACAAGATTCTTAAGGTTCGGGTTTGGCTCAACCTAAGTTCAGGCTTTACGTTCACTATATGCAGGGTTAGGTTCTAAAGTAATAGGTTCTCGAATTGTCCTTGCCAGTGCCCCTTTAGGCTGCCGAACCCTCAATCCTGGCCCATCACAGGCTTTAGGGGATCGAGTTCAATTTCGAGGGAACACACCTCCTTATGTCCATACGGAGGTGATTACCATCACGAGGACCATAAGGCGTGAGCTCCAGGAGCGATCCACTATCCCATACGGAGGTGAAAACCACACGAGGGCATAGTCTCTCACTCCTACTTAAATAGGACGGATGAGGGTTTTACCTCATGTTATGATAATGCAGCTGTGCAGTGTATGAGGAAAAGCGAAAAAACAAACAATAAAAACACTCAAAATCAATTCCTAAAACAAACAATTATTCTGAAACCATTAGCAAACAGATTAGTACAACTATTTAATTGTCAATCGAATTAAATTAAAGAAATCAAAATACAAACAAAAATTATTAAAAACCAAACAACGGATCAAAAACCAAATTAAATCGAATTTATAATTTTCAATTGCAAAGATAATTAATTAATCGACTATCGGCTTAACTCTCTAAAAAAATCCCCAGCGGAGTCGCCAAGCTGTCGAAACGA